CACCTTTCTTGGTCTTGTCGTCCATCGGGGCTGGCCCCGCCCTCGCGGGCCCCACTCACGATCTCGCACTCGCGCCGCACCACGTTGACCTGCGTGAGGATCTGCAGCACCTGCGCCTCCTCCACCGCCAGCTCCTCCAGCTGCTTCTCTGCGGGGCGGGGCGGGGCGGGGCGGGGCGGGGGTCAGGCCGGCGCGTGGCCTGGCCTCCCAGGGCCGGAGGGCGGGAAGGGGAGGGGCCGGCTGTAGCTCCCACCAGTCCCAGACTAAAGACCACGCGCTGCGCACTCGGCCTCGGTCTCCTTTTATTGACTGGCGCGGCGCGGCCCCCACCCAGGCATCCTCCCTCCCTCCCTCCCCTCCCCTCCCCCTGCTCAGGGCTCTCCCTCCCATCGCAGAGGCTGCTGCCACAGAAACAAGGGGGACCATTTCATGAGGTGCTTGGAATCCCAGCTTCTGGGGATGTTGAGGCAGGATGGCTGGAGCCCTGGAGAAGGGGTCTGACCCAACTCCAAATCAGGGGGGCCATGGCTCCCCAGCAGCGGCGTCCTGCCCTGTCCCCCACCCTCCCGTGCCATGCCTGAGGCATCCTGGACACACACGCACGGGTGGGGGAGCCCCAGCCCCCCCCACCGGCCCCACCCGGCACTCACGGATCTGCTCCTCGATGGCGTGCACCAGGTGGATGTCATACTGTGTCACCAGCGTGATGGCCTGGCCCTGCCGCCCTGCGGGACACGGCAGCGGTGGCAGCTGAGTGGAGGGCGGCCTGCTCCCAGGAAGCTGCAGGGCACTGCCCGCCTCCCCGCCTAACGCAGCTGCTCACCCTTTTCACTTAGGCTGCCAGGGACCCCGGGCTTACTCATGCCAGAGCCCAGCCCTGGGTGTTGGCTTGGCCAGCATCTCTGTACCCTAACTCCATGCCCTGTTTCTCTGATGGTGAACAGGACAGGAACAGCCCTGTTGGGTGACTAAACCCAGGACCCCCAAATCCACCCCAGAGGTCTCCCACTGCAGTGTACCCCTCAGTTCAGGCGGCCATGCCCGAGGTCCCAGGGCTGGAGGGGATTTCACCAGCACCCGGTCCTCCCGACAGGGTCGGGGGCCAGGGCCACGAGCGCTCACCTGCACGGGCCGTGCGGCCCACCCGGTGGATGTAGATCTTGGGCAGGCCTGGGGTGTTATGGTTGAGGACCACCTGCACTGTGGGGATGTCCAGGCCCCTGGGAGTAGAGATTGCCCAGGCTCCAGGCCTGCCCTGGGACCGGCTCCCCGGGCCGCCCCCCGAGGGGGCCAGTGGGTGGGTTGCTCACCGGGAAGCCACGTCGGTTGCAATCAGGATCCGGTAGATGCTGGACTTGAACTTGGCCAGAGCAGCGAAGCGTTCTTTCTATGTCAGGGGAAATACCTGGGAGTGGGGGGGGG